TAGAATGGCTATCAACAATGAATCAACAACCAGTGGTGGAGAAAATGCAGAGAAAAAGGAACCCTCATGCTCTGCTGGTGGGAATGCAGACTGGCGCAGCCACTGTGAAAAACAGTATGGTGTTTCCTCAAAAAATTAAAATTGGAACTGCCATTTGACCCAATAATCCCACTTCTAGGAGTATATTCCAAGAAGACAGAAACACTAATCAGAAAGGATATATGCACCCCTATGTTCATAGCAGCACAATTTACAATAGCTAAGATTTGGAAACAGCCTAAATGTCCATCCACTGATGAGTGTATTAAAAAACTGTGGTACATCTACACAATAGAATACTATGCTGCTATAAAAAAGAACTAATTCTTACCATTTGCAACAGCATAAATGGAACTGTAAAGCATTATGCTAAGCAAAATAAGCCAGTAGGAGAAAGATAAATACCACATGATCTCATTCATTTGTGGTGTATAAAGCACATTATAAACTGATGAGCAAAAATAGATACAGAGGCAAGGAAGTATCAGATTGTCTAACTACAGCGTGAAGGCAGGGGAGTATTGGGGGGAGGTAAGAGATCAACTGAAGGACTTGTATGCATGCATATAAGCATAACCAATGTACACAAGACACTGGGGGGCGGTGAGGGCACATTCGGGCGGGTAGGGGAAGCTGAGGGGAGGTCAATGGGGGGGGAGGAGACATATGTACTACTATTTGTAATACTTTAAACAAGATAAGATTTAAAAAATAAAGATAGTGTAAGGAGCTTCTGAGAAACATCAGAGGTACCAACATTCTATTAGCATAACCAATGGACACGGACACTGGGGCGGTGAGGGCTTGCTCAGGGGAATGGCTAGGGCTGGGGGTTAACTGGGGAAAAAGGAGACATATGTAAAACATTAGACAATAAAATAAATAAATAAAATTTAAAAATAAAGAAAACTTCCCCTACCTGGTGAAAGAAATAGACTTACAAGTCCAGGAAGTGCAGAGAGTCCCAAACAAGAGGAACCCAAAAGGCTCACACCAAGACACACCGTAATTAAAAGGCCAAGGGTTAAAGACAAAGAGAAAAATCTTAGAAGCAGCAAGAGAAAAGCAGTTAGTTACCTACAAGGGAGTTCCTATACGACTGCCAGCTGATTTCTCAATAGGAACTTTACAGGCCAGAAGAGAGTGGCAAGAAATACTCAAAGTGATGAATAACAAGGACCTACAACCAAGATTATTCTACCCAGAAAAGCTATCATTTAGAATTGCAGGTCAGATAAAGAGCTTCATAGACAAGAAGAAACTGAAGGAGTTCATCACCACCAAACCAGTATTTCATGAAATGTTGAAGGGTATTCTTTAAAAAGAAGAAGAAAAAGATTAAAAATATGAACAATAAAGTGGCTATAAATACATATCTATCAACAATTAAATCTCAAAATAAATGAACAGGGAATCTAATGAACAAAAATAAACTGATGACTAAAATAGAACCAGGGGTGGAGATTACCCAAAGACTTGTATGTATACATGCATTACCTATGGCCACAGACAATAGGGTGGTGAAGGGCTGGGGTGGGGTGGGAACTCCTCAGAGGTAGAAAAGGATACATTTGTAATACTCTCAAAAATAAAAATTTCTTTTAAAAGTAAAATTAGAACATACAGTTAATGAAATAAAAAATTCTTTCTAATCTCTTCACTCCAAAGATAACAATTTATATTTTCTAGAATTTTCCTTTGTGTGAGGTATTCCTAATTATTTTTTCAGGTGGATGGTATAAGAGGATTTATTATACTGTTCTTGCAACTTTTCTGTAGGTTTGGATTTTTTGCAAAATAAAAACTTAAAAACATGGAAACAAAATGCCTCTCCTAAACGTACCACTAATATCACAAAAGCCTCATTTTTTTTTTTTAAAGCTCAGTAGGGCTTCAATATTAGCTTATTTTTCATTAAATGTATCAGGCTAATATTTTTTAATAACAAATTTCAGGTGTACGACTTTATAATACAAGTGTATACTCTGATGTGTGCTCACCACCTACAGTCTAGTCTCCTGCCATCATCTTGTATTTATTTCCTTTACCCTCTTCATCCTTTCCTCACGCCCCCTACCCCGCTGGTAACCATCATTTTGTTGTCCGTATCTATGTGTTCGTTTGTTGCTTTTTGTTTTATGTCCCACATATGAGTGAAATCGTATAGTTCTTATCCTTTTCCTTCTGGTTTACTTCACTTAGCACGATATTCTCTAGGTCTATCCATGTTGTGGTAAATGGTAATGTTTCATGTTTTTATTTTACTTATTAAGTTGATTGGAGTGACATTTGTCAACATGAACATATGGGTTTCTATGTTACAAGACCTGTATACTGCTCTGTGTGCCCACCACCCAGAGTCAAATCTCCTGTCACCTTATATTAGGACCCCTTCTTCCCCTATCCCCTTCCCTCTGGCAACCAATGTCACCCAAATCAGCCACTATTTGTGTTACATGTTTTTATTTATACATATGTATCACTCTTCTTTAATCATCCGCTGAAGAACTGTTGAGTTGTTTCCATGTGTTGTCTATTGTAAATAATGCTGCAACGAACATATGTAATCTCTATTTATGAATAATTGTTTTCAGAATTTTCAGGTAGATACTTGGTAAAAAGCTTGCTGGGTCATATGGTAGCCCTAGCCCTAATTTTTTTAGAAACCTCCATACTGGTTTTTCAGAATGATTATACCCACCAGCAGTGTACGAAGGTTCTCTTTTCTTCACATCCTCTCCAACACTTATTATTTCTTGTCTTATTGATAATAGCCATTCTAACAACTGTGAGGTGCTGAGATATTACTAATTCTAATGAGTAATCTACAAGTATATTTTGAATTTCAGGTGCTAATGAACAGTTTGTTGTCCTGGTTCCTCATAAAAACTAAGTCTCTATATGTCTTCTGCTTGATTCTAGGTCTCTATCCTGCTACCAGTGGAGAGGCCTATGTTAATGGATTTGCCATCTCAAAGCAGATGGTCCAGATCAGGAAAACCTTGGGCCTATGTCCCCAGCAGGACTTGTTGTTTAATTACTTGACAGTATCAGAACACCTTTATTTCTATTGCATGGTAACCAAAGACATGTTGCTTTATTTCCACTCTATTCCTGTACTTAAGACAGAGTACCTACTAGCAATATTTTTATTCTTTGAACTTTCTTTCAAAAACTTATTTTTGGTGAATTCTTCTTTAAACATAAAGAGATGCAAAGGGAAGAAGACACTGTGTAGATGATGTAAGAAAAGAGCTGGTGAAACGTTTCTGACGATGAAGTTGGAAGCACCATATAAAGTCTGCCTTTTCTTTCTAGATTAAAGGAGTCCCTCGAAAGATGTACCCTATAGAAATTGACCGTATGCTGTCTGCTTTTAACCTGATTGAAAAGCGAAATGCATTTTCAGCATCACTGAGTGGAGGAATGAAGCGCAAACTCTCCGTCATTATAGCACTTATAGGGGACTCCAAGGTAAAAGTAAAATAAAAGCTAAAAATTGATCCCCACTGAAGCATGTCTAAAAAAACTAAGCTGACACAAACCCATGTGCTTCTGTGTACCTAACACTCTAAAAGGAGCCTCCCAAATCCCAGATGTGCTTACATTATCAACCTTGTTGGACTAAAATGGTCATAGGTTTGGAATCAGTCCAGTATTCCTAATTCAGTTTTAGTCTAAGCTTATCATCTTAGCTCAGTTGGACAAGTGACTGGAAAGACCCCAGTGCACTAATCTGTCATGTTTAACGTGGTCATGGAATTGTTCTTCTGGTCTCTAGGTGGTGATACTTGATGAGCCCACAGCTGGCATGGACCCTGCCTCGCGAAGAACCACCAGGGACCTCCTTCAGCAGTATAAACGGGGCCGCACCATCTTACTGACCACCCACTACATGGATGAAGCTGACATCCTGGGTGACCGCATTGCCATCATGGTGAAGGGATCCTTACGATGCTGTGGCTCTTCACTTTTCCTCAAAAACATATATGGTCTCTCTCCCTTTAATCATTCTTTTGATATTGATGTCTTAATATTATTCTAATGTAACTTTTATGAATATTGATATCTTAACAATATTATTTAACATAGTTTATTCATATATTAGGTCTGATAGTATTTTTGTGGATTTTGTGCAAAAATCTTGTCACCTGTGTATCAGAAAAGTTTTACTGGTGTAAGAACAGACACATAGATCAATGGAACAGAAGAGAACCCAGAAATAATCCCACAAATATATGGCGAATTAATTTATGACAAAAAACTCAAGAATATATAATGAGAAAAGGGCAGTCAATTCAATAAATGATGTTAGGAAACTTGGACAGCCATATTCAGTTGGAACACTATCTTACACCAGACACAAAAATCAATTCAAAATGGATCTATGACTTTTCAAGTTAGTGTTTTTTGTTTTCCTCAGATAAATGCCCAGAAGTGGAATTGCTAGATCATTTGGTATTTCTGGTTTTTTTAATTTATTTTACTGAATTTATTGTGGTGACATTATTTTGGTTTGCAAAATTTATTGTTTTATTTAAGCATAGTTGTTATACAACCTTATATTGGTTGTATTAGTTTTTGTGTACAGTATAGTGACTGGACATTTTTATACCTTGCATTATGATCAGCCAACTAATTCTGGTAATCATCTGTCATCTTGTAAACTTATTGCAATACTAGAGGCCTGGTGCATGAAATTTGTGCATGGGTAGGGTCCCTAGGCCTGGCTGGCGATCAAGGTCCATTAGAGCCTTCCGGCTGTCAGCTGGGGCCTTCCTTTGTTCTGTGCCACCCCCTGGTGGTCAGTGCACATCATAGCGAGCGATCAAACTCCCTGTTTCCTGGTCTAACTCCAGAGGGGACACTTTGCATAGTAGGCTTATATAGAGATAGATTATTGACTATATTCCCATTCCTCTTTCAACCATCTCCTACCAACTTTCTTCTGGTAACCGTCCCTTTGGTTTCTGTTCCTATGAGTCTGTTTCTGTTTGTTTTTTAGATTCTACATATAAGTGAAACCACATGGTATTTGTCTTTCTCTGACTGACTAGAAAGACAAATACCATGTGGTTTCACTTATATGTAGAATCTATAAAACAAAAAACACTAACTTGAAAAGTCATAGGTCCAAAAAAAATTATTGCCAAGACCAATGTAAAGAAGCTTTTACCCAATGTTTACTTTTAGGAATTTTGTAGGGTCAAGTCTTATGCTTAAGTCTTAAATACACTTTGATTGTATTTTTTGCAATGATGTAAAATTTCTGTGTATGATTTCAAGTATGGGCCCATATTCAGTCTTTGGTAGGTGAATAACCAGTTTTCTCAAATCTATTTGCTGAAGAAACTGTCTTTTCTCTATCGTGTATTCTTGGCACCTTGTTGAACAATTGACTATATATGTGTTGGTTTATTTCTGGACTCTCTATGTATTACATTGATCTAATTTTTTTTCTAATTTTATTCCAGTACTATACTGTTTTAATTACTGTTGGTTTATAATATATTTGAAGTCAGAAAGTGTGATGCTTCCAGGTTTGTTCTTTCTTGAAAAAATTTTTGGTTACTCAGGGTCTTTTGTGTTTTCAATTAATGTTAGGATCTTGTTCTATTTCTATAATAAATGCCATTGGGATTGCATTGATAGGGATTGCATTAATTCTGTAGATCACTTAAGGTACTATTGACATTTTAGCAATATTAATTCATGAACACAGGATATTTTCCCATTTGTTTGTGTCTTTATTAATTTTTTTATTAATGATTTTTATCAATGAATTTTAGTTTTCAGTGTACAAATATTTCACCTCCTTACTTAATCTTAATTCTTTATTCTTTTTTTAAATGCTATTGTGAGATTATTTTCTTAATTTTCTTTTTGGGTAGTACAGTGTTAATGTGTGGAATACAATTTATTTTTGTATGATTTTTTTTATATTTTATTGATTTTTTTACAGAGAGGGGGGGAGAGGGATAGAAAATTAGAAACATTGATGAGAGAGAAACATTGATCAGCTGCCTCCTACACACCCCCTACTGCCGATGTGCCCGCAACCAAGGTACATGCTCTTGACTGGAATCGAACCTGGAACCCTTCAGTCCACAGGCCGACGCTCTATCCACTGAGCGAAACCAGCTAGGGCTATTTTTGTATGATTTTTTGATGATTTTTTTATTCTACCTCTTGCTGAATTATATTAGCTGTAACAATTTTGTGTGTTTTTTTTGTGTGGAGTCTTTAGGGTTGCTTATATATATCATCATATCATCTGTAAGCAAAGATCTTTTTTCTCTTTCTGATTTGGGTACCATTATTTTTCTTGCTTAATTACTTGAATAGAACTTTCAGGATTTGTTGAATAGAAATGGTGAGAGTGGTTACCCTTGTCTTATTCCTGATCTTAGAGGGAAAGCTTTTATTTCTTCACCATAGAGTATGATATTAGAAGTCAGTTTGTCTTATATGGAATTTATTATGTTTAGTTACATTGCTTCGATATCAGATTTATTGAGATTTTATTATGAAAGGGTATTACATTTTGTCAAGTGTTTTTTCTGCACCTATAGAGATGATCATGTGATTTTTTCTTTTATACTGTACATGTGTTTCTTTTATTGATTTGTACATGTTGAACCATGTTTGTATATCAGGAATAAATCCCACCAGATCATGGTATTTTTCTTTTAACGTGTTCTTGGATTCAGTGTGCTCATATTTTGTAAATGATGTTTACACCTATGTCTATCAGTGTTATTGGCCTGCAGTTTTCTTTTCTTGTGCTGTCTTTTTCTGAGTTGGTTATCAGGGCAATGTTGGTCTCATAAAGTGAGTATAGAATTGTACTGTACTCTTCAATATTTTTTGAATTATAAAGAATTGTCATTAATTCTCTTTTAAATGTTTAGTAAAGTTCCTCAGTGAAATTATCTGCTCCTGGCATTTCCTTTTCAGGAGATTTTGATGATTGATTTAGTCTCCTTACTAGTGATAGTTATGTTTAGACTATCGTCTCATGATTTAATCTTGGTAGATTGTTTTTCTAGGAATTTACCAATTTTACTAGATTATCCAATTTATTGCCGTATACTTGTTCATAGAACTCTCTGGTGATCCTTTTTACTTCTATGATATTAATTGTAATGTCTCATAATTTCTGATTTTATATTTAAGTCTTTTTCTTACTACTGTAGCTAACTATTTATTTATTTATGTATGTATGTATGTATGTATGTATGTACGTATGTTTTTAAACCAACATCTACCTATTCTAACCAACAACCCTTAAAAAGAAAAACTCATGGACAGAGATAGCAGTATGGTGATTGCCAGAAGGAAGAGTATGTGAGGGCAGGTAGAAAAGGTAAAGGGAGGATAAATGGTGATGGAAGGAGACTTAACTTGGGGTGGTAAACATATAACAGAATATACAGATGACATATTGTAGAACTGAAACCTATATAATTGTATTAACCAATGTCACCCTAATAAATTTAAATAAAAACATGGGAAAAATAAGTTTCATAAATTTTTTTCTATTGTTTTTATATTCTCTATTTCATTTATTTATGACATATTCTTTACTATTTTATTCCTCTGGTAACTTTGCAATTAGTTTGTTCTTTTTCCAGTTCCTTGAGGTATAAACTTAGGTTGCTTATTAGAGCTCTCTCTTCTTTTTAATGTTGAGGTTTATCATCATAAACATTCATCTTAGTATTGCTTTGCAGCATCCCATAAATTTTGGAAAATATATTTTTATTTCAAAGAGGAAGGGAGAGAGAGAAACATCAATGATGAGAGAGAATAATTAATTGGTTGCCTCCTGCACATCCCACACTGGGGATTGAGCCTGCAGCCCAGGCATGTGCCCTGACCAGGAGTCGAACTGTGACCTCCTGGTTCATAGGTCCACACTCAACTACTGAGCCACACTGGCCGGGTGGTATGTTGTATTTTTATTTAAACCTGGCTCAAGATATTTTCTAATTTGATATCTTCTTTGACCCTTTGGTTGTTCAAAATGTGTTGCTTAATTTTGAACAAATATTGGGATGTGTTACAACTTTACAGACAGTCCTCGGGTTATGTTGGACTTGATGTACATCGTTTTGTGGTAACGTCACCATCTCCCATCCTATATAATAAAAGGCCATGGACCATAAGCATAACGACCAAAACGACTGCTTGACCAGTGGCCATGAGGTGCATTGAACACCTCTTGGTCCCTCCCCACCCCTGGCCTGCGAGCAGCGGCTCACGGTGGCGAGTGGGGCAGCATGCAGCTCAGTGAGTGGGCAGGGTGGCTCGCAGCTCCCAGCGGTGAGCAGGCAGGGCAGCAAGCAGTGGCAGGCGGGGTGGCAAACAGTAGAGAGGTACATGTGCATGATTTTGTGCGCTGGGCCTCTAGTTTATTTATAAAAAAAATAAAGCGTCATTTCAACATATGTACATCTGTACTTTATGTTTTTTATTATTTATTTACCACAAGTAAAGGTCAGGAATTGTTATCATTCTTTTAATTTTTACTGTTTCACTTCATTACTGCTGTGTATGTGCTCCATGTGAGTGACGTAGGTGCTCATGCAGGTGGGTCCAACTTACAGGGAAAATTGTGTCACATCGCACCATAGGAACGGATCTCTGACGTAACCCAAGGACCTACTGTATTTAGATTCTGATCATAGCTGTATTCAAACATTTTAAGAATGGGATTAGGATTTTGCTCTTAACAGAGGTTGGGATCTGTGCATAAATGAGATTATAGAGATCACTTTAAGTTACAGTCTAGTTCCCAGTTGTCTTTTTATATGACACATCCTCTTTGTTATCCATCCCTGCAGTATTTTACCTTAAAGGGTTTCTCTCCACCCTACTACCCTCTCCCAAACCTTTGAAGGGCCATTGCAGTGAAAGACTAATGAATCCCACAGCTACTTCTCCAGCCTTTTTGTCATACCCGGGGCTGTCAGAATGCTATGCAATGTTTTCTACAAAGTCGTGGAGAACCCTGGAGGGATTTTTTTTTACCTCCCCGGCCTTCCCGCTGCAGTTTGACAATCTGTTTGAGGCAGCTCTGCCTCTGTATCTATTATTGTTCAAAAGTTTATAATGGTCTCTATTATCCATGAATGAGTGAGATCATGTGGTGTTTTTCCTTCATTGACTGGCTTATTTCACTTAGCATAATGCTCTCCCTGGAGGGATTTTTGTCACTACCCATCCCCAGATTCTGGAAGGCTTGTGCAGTGCACCTAGTAAAAGTGCAGGATACTCTGGAAATATTTCTCAGGTCTCTGAAGGATAGGAGTTTTAGCTGATTTATTTACTTACTTGCACATAATAGGCACCCAGTAAATATGTGTTTCATGAATAAAAATCTTTTCTTCTCAGAGTTCAGTGTATATAATACAAGAGGCCAGATAACAGAAGCTTTTCTTTCTATCTCTCATCTATTGGTCTGTAAGAAAATTAATAAAGTTAAAATAGAAGCATTTATTAGACTTTTTAGACTTGTAATCAGATTGAATTGTGGCATGCCATATCTTATTCTTGCTCATCCAAGTCATGAAAATCCAGTGGATTCTCACTAGAATACGGGAAGTAACAAGATTTTTTTAAATGTATTTCCTCAGGTGTGGGATACCATATAGTCATAGTGAAGGCACCTCACTGTAATGTTGAAGAAATCTCCAAGTTGATATATTATCATATACCATCAGCCGCTTTGGAGAAGAATGTTATGAATGAATTATCTTTTCTTCTACCCAAAGAGTACACACACAGGTATGGATTAGGAGAATGCTAATGTGGATGTTTAGATAACAGGAAATTATTGTTGCTTTTCCTGGTTTCTTCAGGCTTAGCAAGTAGAGTTCATTCAACAAGCCAAATCTCCAGTCCTTGCTGCCACTTGCACTGAAGAGAGGGGTGTAACTTTATGGTTGTAGTGGGCTGGTTTCAATTGGTGATAATGGATGGGATGGTGTAGGTAGAATAAAAGTTGTGTGGTGAGTAGAGTGAATGGAAATATTAAGATAATGAGAGAGAAAGTGCTTATAGTGTTGGCCCTTGAAGTCAGGGTGACAAGAAACAAGAGGAAAGAGGCAGTTTTACTGCATTAGTTAGCCAAGTTATTATTCATCAGGGGGAGTCACAAAAAATAAAAACAGCCCTAACCGGTTTGGCTCAGTGGATAGAGCGTCAGCCTGCAGACTGAAGGGTCCCGGGTTCGATTCCAGTCAAGGGCATGTACCTGGGTTGCGGGCACATCCCTGGCAGGGAGTGTGCAGGAGACAGCTGATCGATGTTTCTCTCTCATTGATGTTTCTAACTCTCTATCTCTCTCCCTTCCTCTCTGTAACAAATCAATAAAATATATTTTTAAAAAATAAAAATAAATAAAAACATGCCCAGCTGGTGTTGCTCAGTGGTTGAGTGTCAACCCAAGAATCAGGAAGTCAGGGTTTGATTCCTGATCAAGGCATATGCACAGGTTGTAGGCTCAGTTCCCCTTAGGGGGCATGCAAGAGGCAGCAGATCAATGATTCTCTCTCATTATTGATATTTCTATCACTTCTTCTCCCTTCCTCTCTCTGAAATCAATAAAAATATATTTTAAAAAAGAATAAAAACTTTACTGAGGTAACCATCCTAAAAATTTGAAATGAAAACTAAGAGTACTCATCAGTGACTTTCAGAGTACTCATCTTTAGTTCTTGTCATATACAAATAAGTACTTGCTTTGGTTTTTCCTAGAGTCAAGCCAGTTGTCATAATCAAGAAGAACATGAAAAACTTTCTGTCTCCTTTTCTAAGAAAAAGAGGAATGTATCAAAAAGATTTAAAAAGGAAAAAAACATGATTTTAACTATTTTTTCTTTCAATTCTTAATGTAATATAATTTTTTAAAGATCACATTACATTCAATGAATTCCATTTAAAAGTATGTGCAAGATGCTATAGAAATTGCTTTTTTAAACAGAAAATTACTTCATTGTTAAATAAGCAGGTCAGAGAAAGATAAGTACCACATGATCTCAATCATACGTGAACAAAATAAGTCGAATGAACAAAATAAACTGATGAATAAAATAGAACCAGAGACATACAAGCATGGAACAGACTGAAAACTTTCAGAGGAAAGTTGGGGGTGTGGTGCTGGAAGAGAGAGATTAATTGGAGAATGTATATGCATATA